CTGCTGATAGGAAAAACGATTATTACTTCAATCCATGGGAAAGAGTAGTACCGGTGCTAACTCCAACAGGAATATCCATGTAACTCAATAATTTTTGGCAAAGAAAAAAAACCTGAGACTGCTAATAAGCTTCCACCTCATGCAAACAAAGAGAAATCAATTGCAAAAAAAAGAGATTCCCAAAGGTAAAATGCACTTGTACAAAATAAATTAAAAAGATCAAACAACACTGAGAGACACTGCTTTCTCCACCCTACATACCTCTTTTGCAGACCCATTTGTATCTGTATCTACTCAGCAGATATCATCACATTATTCTATTAATCCCTTTCCTCCCAAGAGGGCTTATTTATTTATTTATTTATTTATTTATTTATTTATCTGATATGATAGAAATATATCTCTCAGAGTTATTGCTCTCTCTTTCCAGTAATCCTTAGCCCTATATGTGCAGGGTCAAACGGGTGTTGATATTGGGCTTTCTGACCTTATACTGTCAGACCAACCAAGATTGATTCATGAAATGTATGTTGTTTCAGATCATATGATTTATCAAGGACTTTAGATCTCGCCTTTTATAAGTGTTGTTATAAGAAAAATCTTGGTATAACAAAACCATTTCTAACTCTTAATTAGTGGTCCACTTATTTTAAATAATACTCACAATAAAAATCCCAGGTAGGCTTACAACTGTCTTGTTATAATTGTTTTGAATGGGATTTGAATCACATATACTCCACAATGAGCACTTAGTAATGATTTACTAAGAAAAGAGCCATAGAGAATGATATTCTAGTTGTCCCTTAAATATCAGCACAACCAAACTTAACTAAGTACAAAATTTCTAACACAAATGACTGTGTCTGGGCCAGGCATGCATCCCCGTACCATAGCCAATAACTATTTTCTGAACATTTCCATGCTCTGTAATGTTACAGATGTACCACCCCATCACGGACCCAAGTCATTTTGCTCAGTTTCGATAGCTCTGGCAAGGCTGGTGGTGCCAATTGTCTTTTAAAATATAAGCAATAACCAGACGGCATTCAAGATTGTCCCTCACAAATGTCACTCATTTACTCAAGTTGGGTATGCCCTCCTGAGTAGGAGAGGGAGGTGGAGTGAGAAGCAGCTCCCTGGAACTTGCCAGAACCCCGCAGAGCCCTGGGGGTGTGAAGCCTGTGTCAGATCTGCAGGTGGGAGGGGAGAAGAGATGATGCTGAGGAGTCATTGTCAGGGAGCCGTATCCAGTCACTGTCCCTGGGGCTGTCAGAGCACCCGCAGCATGGAGGGGAAGCCCCAGCCAGCCTCACTCCCACCCCCCAACCCTGAGAGGCTCACCCTCTCAGCTCTGCTGGGCCAAGGAGGGTCTCAGGAGCAGGGCCTGCCTCCAAGACTGTCCCCATCCCTATGGGGCCCCACTGGAGGGTTAGATGAGCACATCAGAGGAGCCCCTGTGTGTTGATGTGGAAGGAGAGGACCACGGGGTGTGTGGGGAGGATCCCCAGGGTAGAGGAGGAAGGAAAGGAAGACGATGGGTTCTGAGAATGGCCTGCAGGTAAGCGCCTCTGTGTGCCATCAGTTCCCTACAGCTTTCCGTTCTGGCCATACCTATGATGCTTTCACGCAGCTGCCGAGGTCCTGGAATTGAGGGAGGATGCCAAAGGATGCCAAACCACAGGCGCAGAGGCGAGAGCAGGAGGAAAGGGACTAGTGTGTCTCCAGTGTCTGCTCTGAGCCTTGCCGGCTCCAAGGGAGAAGTACACAGGGGCCTTTGTCTGTGGCTGAAGCTTCTTGGAATGAGAGTCTGAACATTGGATGAATGTGGGCAGCACTGAGCAAAACTTCAACTGGACCAGCAGTTAATACGGATTCACTCTGTGCAAGGCGTTAGGGCAGGGTCTTCCAGGGAACTGGAGATGAGCAGGAGGGGTCTCCACCCTTAAGAGCTCTGGGGACTCTCAAGAGTAGGGACAACAGATCCACAGACAATCTCTACAATGACAAAAGGCCACCGACTGTTACTGACAGGCCACCTGTTGGGCTGGGTCTCCTGGTGAGAAGGATTCTGGCCTCTGGGGCCTTCAAGTCCCACTCATTCACCAGCTTGCCAGCATGCATTTGGATATCCCTTTTTACACATGCTCAGCTTAAGACTGATGAGACCCTCAAGTTGGGGGCCCAGGATCTAGGCTAGAAATGTCAGGCACCAAAGGCAATGGATGGGATCACCAAAGAGCAAGTATGGAGAGAAAAGAAACCCAGAAGGATTAGTGTGGGGTGGGAGGGGGCTGGCAGGCAGTAAGGGAGGAGGAGGCAGCCTAGGAGATGCTGCATTATTTTAACAGGTGATGCCGTATTCACAGAAAATACGTTTCCAAAGATGTGAAAAAGAAACAAGCAGGTCCTTTCAGAGCGATGACAGATGCTGTCTTCAGACCCCTCTGCTGGCTCTTCATGCAAGAGGGGCTTTCTTCAGCCTGGGGTGGTCCATGCAGCTGGCCTGACCAGTGATCAGTACTCTGCACACGTGATTGCTTTTATAATCAGTCCTTACTGGACCCTTCTGGGCAGGAATAGCTGTGAGGTGCAGAGAAGTCAGGTCACTTGCCCAGGTCCCGGGGTGGGTGGGGAGTGAGGTCAGGATATCACCCCATCTCTCTCGCAGCCCAGGTCTTGCAGGAACCTGGCTGGTTTTGGAACAGGTGGTTGATGGGGTGTCTGAATTCACAGAACAGTATCTGTACAGGGTCTGTGAGGAATGTTCTTATCTAGCAGAGCCCCAGAAGGTATACATTTAAGCTAAATGAGTCAAGGCTGGCACTATGTCTGTAGGCTTTAGCTGTGTTAGGCACGAAGCCAGTCAGTTATCAAACCCATTGCTGCTTTTGTATTTCAGTCAACACTCAGCTCGTCTCTGGGTCTCTTCTGCTTCTCCCACCTCCCACGGTCTCTTGAATGTAGGTCTCAGTCTTTACCCATAACACATGCTAACGCCCTGATGCCCTGCCCGCAGGTTCTCTCTTCCCCTCAGCTCTATCTGGTCCCTTCTAAATATAATATGCAAATTGCAATTCTTCTCATTTTTCAAGTTAACCATCTTGATGGTACAGTACTTTTTCCAGTACTTTCCATAGTTCTCTAGTGCTCTGTGAAGCACATTTCTGAGAGAGAGAGAGAGAGGGAGAGAGAGAGAGATAGATAGATTTAAAGTCATTTATAAATCCACTTGTAGGGCACCTGTGTGGCTCAGGCAGTTAAGAGGCTGCCTTTGGTTCAGGTCATGATCCTTGGGTCCTGGGATGGAGCCTCATGCTGGGCTCTCTGCTCAGCAGGGAGTCTGCTTCTCCCTCTCTCTCCCCACCCCTCTCTCTCAAATAAATAAATAAATAAATAAATAAATAAATAAATAAATAAATAAATAAATAAATAAAATCTTTAAATAAAATAAATCTAATCGTAGTGGTCTTTGTTCAAAAGCAGCTACTGTGGACACTGAGGACATGGCGGTGACACTGTCCTCCATGCTCTTCAAATCAGCATCACCTATCATCTCATTTTATTTCTAACAAATTTCAGAATTTTCATACATTCCTTCCCAATAAAAGAAACGTGAGTACTTTGTTCTATACCATCAAGTCTAACATCCTCTTCCTCTCCCTGTGGGGTGGCATAGGGAACCAATCTGCAGCAAGAAATCTCCCCAGATGGGCCAAAGAGCCTCCTAGGCTGCTGCTACCTTCCCCGTGTGGTGGAGAGGGTGTGGGGAGACAGAACAGCCCTTCTGGTTCACTCTGCTGGGCCTCTGTCTCCCCTGCCCTCCACATCCTCTCCCATCTCTGGACCACAACTTGTAAATCCTCTTACCAACCTCCTGACTCATGAAATCATTTATCTGTCTGCGGTGTCTATCTGTAACTAGAATGATGTAAATTTGTGAATTTTATATGTGTTTTTCAATGTTTCAGTCAGTCTGTATTTCTTGCAGGTACAGTCCTGAGTTCATGCATGTGGAACACATGTGGTGACACATGTGTATGTGGACCTGGTTCCAAATGACTGAAAGGAATATAATGGTAATTGAACATTTGCACATAAATAGAATATATACATATAACAAAGGGGCAGGGGGGAGGGATTGTATGTGGAACCACCATCAGAGTTTTATTTCCCATAGATAAAGAAGGGAGGAGATTTGCACTGTACTAACTGAATTAGCTTATGTATAGGGATCGCTGTCACTGACTCCCTTACAAATCACATTATATTAATACTTCTGTATGTGGTCTGACATGCATATGGCACTATGATCTACTAGCAATGATGAGCTATGTTCTCTATCAGTAATGTATGAAAAAGATTGCATGGTTGAAAATATGGTGAAGGGCTTAAAGAAAGCAATTATGAAATGTCCTAAAAATCCAGTTTGAAATAACAAATGCAGTGTTGTGTTTACAATTTCAAACCCTGATTTAGTAATCTACTTTTAACCCATTGCCTGTCTTAGTGCTTTTACAATAAGAATCCCAGAGCTTTTATTTTACCGAAGTTTTTGGGTTAATTTTTTTGTTTTCTGTCATGTTCTGAAACATGTACAATTACAAGATCATTCAAAATATCACCTGTTAAATGATAATGTTTGTTCTATTAGGAGACGGCTGGAACATCTGAGGGACAAGAAACAAACCCATAAAGGATTTATTCATAATCACTTTGTTTATGAGAAATGTATATTCTCCTGATTTTGCCCGGTTCCGTGCATAAAGGATTCTGAAAGGGGGCAAACAACTGGAAGGGGACATTCCTGGGGATTTTGGCCCACAGTCCATCATCTGAGTCCATGATCTCAAAAAAATGAAGAGGCGATGGTGTGGGCACTTCCTGGAGTTGTCATGCACCAACAAGAACAGATTGGGCGGGACCCATCACCGTCACCAACACGCCGAGTTGCTGGTGGAGGCGGAGGCCACCTCAGCACCATAAGGTGCAGGAAACGTGCCCTGGCATCGCCTTGGGGAGGCTCGCGGCTGTCGCACCCCTACCCTGCCGGAGCCCCTGGTTGGGTCCTCCCCTACCGTCCCGCTCCAGCCCGCCCCGCGCAGGAAGGTAGCGGAGTTCAGCATCGGCTACCCAGTCCTTGCTCAATATTTAAAGCGGACAAGTTTTGTTCTTGAGACCCCTCCCCTCCCCGCCCGCGACTTTCGCTCCGATGCCCGGAAAAAAGCTGACTTTCGACTTAGTTGTTCAAAGAGCTGGCCTTGGACTTGGTGAGTTTTGCTTTAAGCTCTCTTTGAATCTGAGCTGGGCTTGAAGGTACAATCCTTGAGGGGGGGGGAGGCGCGGGGTAAGCCCTCCCCAATCGTATTTTTTTAAAAAGAACCGCTGTAGCGAAGCTTCTTTGGATGTAAAGGAGAGTTTTCTCCCGTCGTGATACAGGCCCCAGAAGCAGCTCAGGGCATAAGTGGCGGTGACAAGAGATCTCTTAAAAGGACTAGCCTGCCCTTAGAACTCTTGCTTTGGAAAGGGAAATCAGATGATCTGCGAACTGCAGCTCAGAAGTTACCACCGTCCGTGCGTAACTGTTGCGTGTTGTGAGCGAATGGCTCATTAGTCTAACCAAGTCTGCTTCCTAATGAAAACAGTACTGAGACCAGTTGTTTCATATGGAATTAATATGTGCGATCCCTCGTACGATTAAAAAAAAAAAAAAGGCAAAAGCTCTGCAGCCCCCCGCACCCTAACTGGGGCCGAGGGCCCTCACTGGGGGGGAAATGTGGTCTTCCCTTCCGGATCACTAAGTGCGGGAAGGTCTAGCACGCTCGGAGGGGCTAGATCTCCGCTCCCCGGACGCTCGGCTCTTTGTGCCGGGGACGGGAAACGGGCTCCCGCGGTGCGCAGAGAGGGCTCCGGGCCGCCCAGCCTCCGCCCCGCCCCTGCCGGGCACCGCGGCCCCACGGCGCCGCGCCTCCTCACCGGGGCAGCTCGCGGGCTCCGGCAACGCAGGCTGGAACTCTGCTTCCCGTGGCCCGGGAGGAGAGGTCTCGGCAGGGCCGAGAGGGGAAGACCGGGAAGGGGAGCCGCGAGGAGGTGAAGGTACGCGCGCCCGCACGGGTGGCTCCAGCGCTCCAGCTTGGAACGCGCGCTGCGGCCGGGGCGCACGGCTGGCGCGGACCCGGGGCCTCGCCCCGCTGCCCCGGCCCGGACCTCGGGAGGCCCCCGCCGCCAGGGGCCCGGCTCGCCCGCCGCCCGCGCGCGCCGCGGGGAAGGGGAGGGCGCCTTCCTCTCCGGAGCGCCTTTGTTCGCTCTGGCTTGGCGGGCGCGGGCGCGGGCGGCGGGGCCGCCGGGACCTCCCGGGCCGAGAGCCGCGCGGCTGCGGCAGGGACGTGCGAGCCCCCGGGGCGCCTGCTGGGGTGAGGCTTCCTGGGGCCCGCGGGCTCCCGCTCCCCGGGGAGCTCCGGCGAGGCGGTCTCCGCGGCGGGCCGGAGCGCGGGAGCCCGCGGGCGGACGCCGCGCCCTGGGGCCCCCGGGCCCCGGATGGGGCTCCCCAACAGTGCCACCACCCCTGGGCTGCGGGGGGGAGGACTTCGGGTAGAGAGCCTGCATCCGGCTGGAAATTAGGAAATACCTCCAGACTGAGGAAACTTTGGGCGAGTTAACCGGCTAGGGAAATGGAGACAAGGAAGTGGGCAGGCGGGGAAAACTGGAAAGGAGACCTCTAAGTTAGTTACCCGTAGGTCTTGGCCACTCTTTTCTGACTGCCGAGTTGTATTTTGTAACGTGAAGTGACAGCCAGTTGCTTACTCAGATACAATATAGGTCAAAGTAGCAACTTTTCTTCTGATTCCAACTGCACAGCCTATATTTTTTCTTATCCAGGGTTGGTTTTCATAGGTTATGGGTCATGTTAAAGGGACACCGATGTTGCAACCGCACAGAGTGGCTGCTGGTGGCTTGTAGCTCATATTTAGGGTAATTCTCTGATGAAAGTACATCCATTAGAATTGGATTTGTTCCTCTGTGCCTTTATTTTGGGAACTTTGCCTGGTCCCTATGGGGGAAGGGAGAGGAATGTGAGAAACTGAAATTGACCCAGAAAAGGATGCTCAGAGCTAGTTGTGTTCAGTAGTAGCACTGACAAGATCCCCTCTTAAACTTTCTGAAAGGGAGATTGGTGATTAGCAGCTGAGGTTTCAACTTTCTCAAAAGAAACTTAATGGTAGATTTTACATCTTGTCATGGGGGCCGAGGGGCTACTTTATTTGGTCATCTCTTTTTTAATTATTACTTTAAAGCAAGATAAATTCGATACCAGAAATGTTTACATTAATTTACATTATATACTTAACATGACCCTTCTATCCCCTGCTCCTTCTCTCTCTCCCTTCCTTGCTCCCACAGGCACCCTCCATGAGTATTTATTGAGTTCTGGGAGGCTAACCCTGAGGCCCATTCCCTCTAATTCACCTCAGGTCCCCTAGTGCTCACCCAGACACCTGACGGGGATGAGTGTTATGACAAAGAAAGTTCAAGCTAAACTAAGAAAAGCAGTTTCTGAGGATGTGAGAAATGAGAGGTGATTGGGAGGTATAAATGATATTACACATAAATGCCTGGCCCGCAAACCAAACAAAAAAGCTCCCCAAAACCTCAGATGGTAGAGGGGACGCCTGGCTGGCTCAGTGGTTGATTGTCTGCCTTTGGCTCGGGGCGTGATCCTGGAGTCCCAGGGTCGATCGAGTTCTGGGATCCAGTCCCACATCAGGCTCCCTGCATGGAGCCTGCTTCTCCCTCTGCCTATGTCTCTGCCTGTCTCTCTCTGTGGCTTTCATGAATAAATAAATAAAATACTAAAAAAAAAAAAAAAAAAACAACTCAGAAGGTAGAGAATAATTTTCAAAATAAAGTGTAGGCTCTAGCAAGTAAAAATGACACATCATATTTCATTAAAATGGAGATCAAAGTCCCCCTTTATAAAAGATTGATTCAAATAAGGAGATTGTAGGAAGGTGAAATAACTTTCTAATTCTTAAATATAGAACAAAGCTTGAATAATAACTCATGGGTTTTGAAATGGGTCATTTTTTAAAATGGGTCACTTTGGCTGGAATCATTGCACTTGGTGACTTTCAAATTGTAAAGGTAGAGTGCTTTCTGAGGACCAACTGCTCTATAATCTACGTAAAAAACGTAGGATGTGGTAGAAAGAAACTGGAAGAAATTCAGAAGGAAGTGGTCTCTTCTCAAAGTAACAATGTATCCTATCCTTTTGGAATTATGTATATGCTCAATTGAATTGCTGCAAGTTTTGCATTTTATAGCATATTATACCTTTTTTGGGAATATTTCCAGAGCCATTATTTTATTCTATTGTTAGAATAATCTAGTGAGGAGCTGCATATATTGTCTATGTTCCAGAAATTAAGGCACAGCAAATTATTACAAGAGGTCTTCCATTTGCCAGCAAAGCTTTAGCCAGAACAATGCAATCCAGAATATTTTTTTTCTTACAGTACGTGTATATATAGGAAGTATATATACTTCATGCTAAAAGGTAAGAAACCTCATCAGATGACATGTAAACTTTGAATAAACAAAAGCGATTTTTTTTTTTTTTTTACATTTCCATGCTGGAAATTCAGACTGACTTTCATCTGTCACTTATATTTTAAGATTTATTTCCATTCTGTAGTGAAGGCTTTAGCCCTAGAAGCCAGTTTTCTACAGAAAGGAATGTTCCATCATGCCGATAGGCAATAAGCCCCCAAAGGTCCAAGTTACACGCTTTAAGATCCACCTACGATTTTATATTTTATCTCTTTATTCCTTTTCCTATAATTTTTTCTACAACTTTTTGATAGTGCACTAGGCAAAGCAAGTTAAAAAGCTGACTCAGCTCAGGTTTCCTTCTCCATAATATACAAGGCCTTATATTTTTTTGGCTGTGTCATCTTTGTAGAAATGTTTTTATAAGTGCTTGTGGGAACCATATTGTTCTTTCCTATCAAAGATAATGGAAAGGTATGTTCAGCCAATTAGTAATGATACTTCTGTTCTCAATCTCAATAGTATTTGGGATGTGTTGGTAAGTGCCCCTTAGCCATCAGATCAGTATTTTCAAAAACTTATATCTAATGAATATTTTTTGAAAAGAATATTAGAGTAGAGCTTATCATTTTGAAAGGAAAAAAATACCTATAGAATAATAGCTACTAACTAAACCATCATGGTACAGATATATGAACAATTTCTAGAGAAAGGAAATGAGCCTAGATTGAATACCTGATTTGGACCACATTTATTTTGTCAAATAAATGGTCTCAAATGATCCTCAGAAAAGACTATGTTTAGAGGGAAGTCAAGCTCATGTGACCAGTAAATGGAAGCAACAGAATATAAGTCTATTTTTGTTCATGTTCTAAAACTCTTGGTTTTTCTACCCATGTGTTTTGATTAGGTCCAGATTCCAGATTGCACCAGAATACTTGCTTACTCCATTAGGGGGTTCTACACTGGACACATCTCTGAAGCCTTCCCTGTATCCTGCCTGTGGCCTACTACACAATATGTGGTAAATTAATATTTGTTGAATTAATTAAATGTAGGCATTACCTACTTTCAGGGCTGCTCAACATAATGCCTGGAACAGGTAGGTGTTTAATAAATGATAAAATGTTATTAAAAATGTTGATCAACTGAGACAGGAATGTTATATATGCCTCTTACATTTTATACCATTATATTTTGTACTCTGTAAACCAGCAATCAGGTGTTATTTCCAAATATAATATTTAGAATGGGACATATGAAGTGCCATTGGACAAGAAGCTTGTATGTCTAGCTCACATAATAGGTTTATACCAAGTCATAGTGTTACCCTATTTTTATTTTTTAAGATTTTGATTTATTTTTATTTTGAGAGAGAGTGCATGCATGTGCGGCGAGCGGGGAGTCAGGAGGGGAAAAGCAGAGGAGAGGGACAATCTCAAGCAGACTCCGTGCTGAGCCAGGAGCCCAGTGTGAGGCTCGATCTCATGACCCTGAGGATCATGACCTGAGCCGAAATCAAGAGTCAGATGTTTAACTGACAGAGCTGCCCAGGGACCCCGTCACCCTATTTTTAAATCACTGTTTTTTGTATCATAATTTTACCTCAGTTGGACCTTTCATTTCATCAAATACTTATTCATCAAATACTTGCTTGAAACATCCTCTCTGAGTCCTGTACTTTTTATTCTCCTCTCCTTTTGTCTTTCTCACCTCTCTTTTACCCTCTATGCCATTTTATTTATTTATTTATTTTCTCTATGCCACTTTAAATCTCTGCCCTTAAATTCCCTCAGTCTTCTTTGTGGAGTTAAGACTTCATGTACCCAAAGGACATAAACTCACAAGATCACTTATGCCTACTCTTTTATGCTAATGGGACCAAGAAAAGGAAGGAGGGAACATTGAGATGGAAGGTTAAAGAAAGGGTGGTTACAAGGAGACTGAGAATAAGCTCTGACAAAAATGCAGGTGACAGTAAAATGTAAATGATCCAAACTTCAGGAAAGCAGATTCTGAGCCTTCTTGGGTGCTTCTCTTGGCCCTGCTCCAGCACTTCCCTGCCCTCCCATCCTGATGGGAGCTCCAGGAAAAGTAGCTGGCCAATGCCAGGGAAGAAGGCAAGGTGAGGAGTTCAGGGTAGGGCCTGGAACCCATCAGCTGCTTCTGAGCTTCCATGGGGTCTGGAATTTTGGAGGGTACATGGTTAACCCCATGTCTGGGAGCTCTAGTTTCTTCTGCAACACAGGGACAGCTTTCTCCCTCAGAGGTTGCTGTGAGGCTTCAAGAGTTTCTATAGACCCAAAGCAGTCAGAATGGAGCCCAGAGCACAGTAAACACTGCCATGTTAGCAACCGTTGCTAGAGTGGGCCAAAGGAGAAGTTTGTTTCTTAACTAGACAAGAACAACACTGACAAGAATTGTATAGAAAAGAGCGAGCAGCCCGGTCAACACAAACAACCATGCATCAGGAATGAATATAGAAGACCAAGCTTAGAAAAGCAAATGTTTGACCACTCTGAGACCTATTTTGTATTTCTGGGTTTTTTTTTGTTTGTTTCCAATTCTGTTATTGGGAATTTGTAGTGATTTTTACTATAATGCCTCTGAAATACAATAATATTCTATAGCCTCTTGCCATCAGTTTCCTTAGGGCCTGTCTTTACTTAGGGCCTGTCTTTACTTGTTTGTTCATTTGGTATTTCCTTGTCTTCTTTTTTTTTTTCCAGAGCCAGCAAACAGAAATCTACACTCATGTTTAACAATGGTTAGAAATGCATCATTTAGTTTATATAGGTGGGGAGCTTGTTACTGGATTCAGACTGCAGGTTTTATACTTAATGTTGTTTCCTCTGTCCCACATCAATGCTTGTTAAAAGTTGGAATTTAAAGTCTTGGCTAACACTGAATCAAGAACTAACTCTAAATGTATTGTTTGTGGAGGAATAACAACTCCAAATGGCTTCTAATCCCTGCCAGTGGCTTGAGCTCAATTTGCATAGCTTAAGTCACAGCCACAAAAACACCTAAAGACAGCTAATGGGTAGAATTCTTCCTTTATTTTACAGGCCTTGTATAGAAACACACAAATATGAATTAAAAAATAAAATACCAATTGAGGGTATATTTAATTTTTCACACTTTAAATGTGAATTGTAAATTCATATTTGGGGTTGTTTCCTTCCTTTTTGAGTACACAGAATAGGCAATTAATACTAAACAGTACCCAGTTGTGTTACTTATCACCAATGACTATAAGAAATTTAAGAAAAATGTATGAAGATCAAATTATAGCCTTTCCAGTAAATTCAGGGCTAAACCTGATTTCTTTTAACATGGCCACTTGGCTCTTGAGGATGCATCCTTGCTCTCTTGAACAGGGAATAGATGATTAGAACAAGCCAGGAAAACAATACTTGGAATGTAGAACAAAAAATCACATAAAGATGGACAGAAAATGTTATATTTCTTTCCTTTGAGTCATGCTTGGACAGGAATCAAAAACTGCCTTATATGGGACTATAAGTAATACAACTTTAAATATAAAAAGGTTGAAGTACTCAGGAGTTTTTTTTTTTTTAACTGACTTACTGAAAGAGCATCCTTAGTTTATAGTTATATTTTTATGACTTTTAAGTTTTGTGCCCTAAATGAGTGCCTCACTTGCCTCTCCCTGACAGTCAGTGTGCTTTATGGAAGGTATAGAGAGGGTTGGCCAGCCTGCGGATCCGTGAGAAGGAGGCACACATCTGTGATGAGAAGGGACAGTGCCTGTGAGATCTTCTTGTTTTTCAGTGATGTAGGAGGTGAAGCCATCAGCTGAGAGTGAGGGACACAGACCCTGGGAGAGGGGGAGGACTGAGCCTGGCTGATGAGAGAACGGGAGAGAGAGAAGGTCCAGGATAAGTGAAGGATAGTCACACAGCACTGAGCCCTCTGCCCACAGCTGGATACCACCATTTGTAGTGACGCCAGCTGCCCAGTGGGTTACACTTCTCCTGCAGCCTGGCAGGTGTTGTAGTAGTAGAGAAGGCTGCAGGCACCAGAGGTCTGGGATTGTTGTGGGGGAAGGGCAGGGACCAGGGAGGGGAGGGCAAAGGTGCCAGATGATTCTGGGCCTGACACAGGGAGGTGGAAGGAGGAAGGTCGGGAGATTGCTGGGTGGGGTGGGAGTGGTAGGGAGCAGGAAGGGGGTGGGCAGAGGATTCCCAGTGAATATTTAGAGGCTGTGTTTGAAGAGCAAATGGACTGGAGAGTGAGCAGACTGGAATTTGAAATTTCAGAGGAAATGCAGTTGTAGGTGAAGCCGTAAATGACGTTCTTGCTGATTAGCTGTCTTAAGTGGGTGCCAGGTTATGTGAACAAAATGGTCTCCATGTCCTAACATAAGGGCTCCCTAGACTTCTGAGTGTTGCATGTCTACTAAGTAAGATTTGGAAATATAGTTTCTTTAAGATTAGATGTTAGTGTTAGACAATGGTCAGAAACCATGATCAAAAAATATACAGTTGGAAACAAAAATAGATACATTTTGAATTCAAACCCTCTGGCTTTCTCTTGTTCACATTCCTCAGCCTTCAGGTCTCAGATTCAGTGTTGCTCCTTCTGGAAAATGCGCCTCTGCTCCACCCACCCCCATGTGTCCCCTCCAGGCTCCCAGTCCAGCACCCACTATTTGCCCCTGGCTCTCTTCCAGCTCAGACTGCCACGGGCCTGGTCTGTCCTGCCCTCTATCAATCACCCTCTACCTGTTTCTTACCCCATCTCAACTTTCTATGACCTAGTCCTTTAAAATAGTTCCTTTTTAAAAGAAATAACCATCTGAAGTTTCAGAATTTCTATTCTTTCATTTGTCAAAAGATATTTCTAGTCCTTGAATTCAAACCTGGGCAAATAAATTGAGATGCCACATTAATATGCGCATGCGTGCATACATACATGCATAAAGTAAAATAAGATGCTTCCTTTATCTTTCCTCCTCCAGGTCCTCCTTCCCCTGTCTTTACTTGCCTCGGGGCCTCTCTGCTCCTCTCTGGTCCTGGAGGGCCCACCCTCCTCCGGGCCTCACAGCAGCCATCTGCCTTCTGCTCAGAGTGCTCCCCAGCATCTGCAGTCCTGCTGCCTCCAGACTCAGAGGAGCCCAGGACTGCTCCACCTGCTGTCTCTGCAGCACCTCCCGCTCAACAGGAGCCCAAACCTAGACATGCTCCCTCCTCACTCCTAACTCAGGAAACCCATGTCCCCTCAGTTGTGGGCAATGCTGGAAACTAGGTTCCCCCCTCCTCCTTTCCTCCCTCCCAGGCCACTCACCAGGCAGTGCTGGGTTTCTTTTTCTCTGGAGGGTCTTCCTTCCCCCTGACTTCCCTCCTCGCTCCCACCACCCTAGACTAGGCCCTCCTCACTCCTCCTGCTTCGGGGCGCGGCCCCGATGGACCCAGGGGCCTGCTCTCCTGGCCTTCTGCATCCATCCTGTATGCCACTGCCAGACTAATCCCTGTCACATACGGCGTGGTCCATATGTACAAGGCAGGTGTCATTAGAAACAAAGCCCGAAGCTTCTGTGACTTCTTGCTGCCCTCGGCGCACACACACACACACACACACACACACACAGACACGGACTTCTCTGCCTGGTTTTCAGGGTTCTCTATGAACAGCCCCCAATCTCCCTGCTTTCAATTACATGCCTGGATCACAAATATTTGCCATGTTGTTATTTTTTTTCCTTTTCGCCTAAAACAGATTGCTTCTTTTCCTGCAACCCCCTAAATCCTGTTTATCCTTAGGCCCTCCTATCCACCTGTTGTTGATCTCTGCTACGAGGGACTCCCCTTTTTTACCTGGAGTTGGTATTGTCTAAATTAGTGCTGTGATGCTATCTGCACTTTACTGTAATCTGCTGATCACTGTCCATGGGAACTGAGTTTTCAAGTGGGCATCATGAGTCGTGTCTCGACTAGACTGCAGATGCTTGCAGAGAGGAGACTATAAAATGCTACTGCATGACTCCCACCACGCTTAGCATGACAATTCCACAGGAAGCATACACTTGTAGGATTTGTTGAAACATTGAACACGGAAGTTGTTTGAATCAAACTTAAAGTGCAGCCCTTACTATCTTGATTAAAACTTCAAAATTTTTATAGGTTTTGTGTAATATTGTAGGATCACTAAAGTAGACCCAACAAAGAAATGGGTTACCAGCAAGAGCTAAGTAGAAAAAAAATCAGGGTCACTTAGGGTAACTTGTAGTCCCTAGTTTTTCCAGAAGAGTTTAAAGAGTTCTCTTTAGAGAACTACAAGAAGAAATATTCTTGGGACACCTGGGTGGCTCAGCAGTTGAGTGTCTGCCTTTGGCTCGGGCGTGATCCCAGAGTCCAGGGATCAAGACCCATGTCGGGCTCTCTGCAGGGAGCCTGGTTCTCCCTCTGCCTATTGTCTCTGCCTCTCTCTCTCTCTCTCTCTCATGAATAAATAAATAAAATATTTAAGAAAAAAAAAAGGAAAGAAAGAAATATTCTTGAATAACTGTGGGGCACAGCTCCCAGACTGAAAGGCATTAGGGTAGGGTCAGCCACCTTCTTTTCCAATGTTCCTATTCAACTTCTATTCTTTGGTCTCCTGACTACTCCTCTCTATTAGGAAAGAGAATACTAAGAATATCTGCTACTTCTTTTCAATCCAAATAGATGCAAACCCAAGTTATATCCAAATATTTGCATACGGGTCTTGCTCAATGCAGGATGGGGTTATATCCCAGTAAACCCACTATCAACTGAAGATGTTAGAAGTCAAAAATGCATTTAATACACCTAACCTACCAAGCATCATAGCTTAGCCTAGCCTATCTTAAATGTGCTCAGAACACACCTCCAGGTGGGCAAAAGGATCTAACACCAGTTGTATCACATACTAAAATGTTGAATAGTTCATGTAATTGAATACTGTACTGAAAGTGAGAAAGAGAATGGTTGTAAGTGTATCGGTTGTTTTCGCTCATGACTGCCTCCCTGACCTGAAGCTGCAGCTCAGCTCTGCTGTTAGCATTGCCAGAGAGTATCCTATGGCCTACCACTAGCCTGGGAAAAGAACAAAACTAAAAATTTGAAGTATGGTTTCTACTGAGTGCATTCTGCTTTCACACCATCATAAAATTAAAACAAACAAACATAAGTCAGGGACTGTCTATATTCGCCTCTGAGCCGCTCTCTGTCCCGTTCCCTCCCATGGTCTCTATTTCCTCGTACCAGCAGTCCCTGAAGTCATCTGTAATTTTTATATCCCTTAGTTACAATCCATTGACATTCACCCCCAATTTGCAGATGAAGTCACCAAATTGGAGTACAGTGAGGGTTGCCCCAAGGTTACACAATGATCCTGGCCCCAAACTGGGGGTAGCCCTGGAGCTTGCCGCCTGCGGCCTGGTCCCTGAACACAGCTCTGGATGCACAAAGGAAGCTGCAGGCACAGCGTTCTGGTGGGGATGGCTACTGAGCTCACAGGCATTATCTGGGTCCTTTGTTTCTTGTCAGGCCCAGCGTTCTCTTTTCTCTAGGTCGGGCAAGCCTGTGGGTTTCTCTGCAGTCCCCTCCCCTGCACTTTGTATATGGAAGCTAGAAGGTGTGCTTCAGGTGAGCCCTCAGACTCTGTGGGAACCAGGAGAGTGGGTGTCCATTGCTCGTGTGTGGTATCCCATCAGCAAAGCCGGGGCTGGGGCAATACCGCTTGGTTGTAATTAATGAGTTTAGACCGTGGAGGTGCATTTTGCTTTTGGTTGGGCGAGGCTGTCGAGTGGCTATGTTCAATTTGGAGGAGCTCAGGTGTTCTTAAAAGAGAACTGGGCACTGCGAAAGAGTAGTTCACCTTTCCTGATCTTCCCCTCATCAGATCAGTCCTATCAGTGGAATTTGGTTATGATTGGTATAAATGATAGCTAAACAGTTCAAGCTGCTGAGATTGGAGAAATCTTGTTTTAGAATTTCACATGCTGTTCTAACCTAAATAAGTGGTGTGGGTTGTTGGCTTTGTGACAGGTTCTTTGTCATTTTTCAGAAACTGTTTTGACTCTTTGAGGTCAATGGGGAACAAGTGAAGAGACACAGGAAAATAAGGTAACTACATATGTGGCAGGGGTGAGGAGCAGAGGGATAAATGCATGATATGGGCTGGCTGCTAAAATGCAAGTTAGCAGCAGAACTCTGCAGCCAGATGAATAAGAGGCCCTATTCATTAGAGAGATAGGAGGGCCTCTGAGTCAAGTGTGCATGTGGGTTCTAGAGGAGTAAGGCCTGTGGGCTAATTGTCTAGCAAGAAGCTCAGACTTGTAAACAACTGGGGATAGGTGCAAAGCGAGCTGTCATTGCAACATGATGAGTGCAGCTGCTCAGAAACGGGAAGCTAGTTTTGCCTGTTGTTCCAAAGGTTACTCTCCTCTGTTTCTTTTCCAGAGTCTGTTGGAATAGAAACTGCAGATTAGGGATCCCTGGGTGGCGTGGCGGTTTGGCGCCTGCCTTTGGCCCAGGGCGCGATCCTGGAGACCCAGGATCGAATCCCACGTCGGGCTCTCGGTGCATGGAGCCTGCTTCTCCCTCTGCCTGTGTCTCTGCCTCTCTCTCTCTCTCTCTCTCTGTGTGACTATCATAAATAAATTTAAAAAAAAATTAAAAAAAAAGAAACTGCAGATTAGTTTCAATTGCTAATTTTCTTAGAATTCTTAAACACAGGGTCTTATAAATCTGCCCTTAAGAATTCTCTGTTGCTTTACATTAAGCCTCCAGTTCTACAGGCAGAAGGGGATACCCACCTTCACAGGTGGACCCTTATCTAAGTGAATACTGTTAAGACTGAGAGGAAGTACCTATTTCCCTCACCATGAAAGTGATTCTGCCAAGTTTAGGCAGATGCGACCAACAGAAACTGGTATTTTCCACTGTCTTTTCCATTTTCCTCTAGAGCATTCGGTCCACCATGACCAGCCAAACCAAGAGGGGAAATTACTGATACTGATCTATCCCTTAAAGTAGTATTTCTTGCTTTTTTGATGATAAAGCACACACGCACAAAATGCATTTTACATTACAACCTGAAAGGCACATATATGTAAAACCGAAAGTTTCATAAAATGACACTTCACTACTTTCAGTGCCCTATGCCATTCTCTATTTTTTTTAATATTTTACTCATTTATTCATGAGAGACACAGAGAGAAAGAGAGAGAGAGAGAGAGGCAGAGACACAGGCAGAGGGAGAAGCAGGCTCCATGCAGGGAGCCTGATGTGGGACTCGACCCCAGGACTCCAGGATCATGCCCTGGGCCGAAGGCAGGTGACCCCGCTAAGCTACCCAGGGATCCCCATTTTCTATTTTGTTCTTTCTTTTTCTTTTTCTTTTCTAGATACTGGTTGTGACTTTCTGAGAGGCACTAGCAAGTTTTAAAATTGATGTCTTAGGGGAAAAGATGATTATCTCTGGACAAAGTCTCAGCAAGGGTTGGCTCTGATCTCCCGTAATCCTTGGACTTTTGCATGCCTGGTTATCACCCCAACAGACTTTTGCATGCCTGTTATCACCCTAACACGGAGAAACTTTGGGAGATAGGTAATATAGCTATATGTAAAAGGCCAGAGGTTGGGCAAGGACACCCCATAGCCAAGGTTAGGTCAATAGAGCTGGGTGCTCTCAGTGACATAGCAGGGCCAAAGGGTGGGGACTTGTGGTTGAGATCTTGAGACACAAAAGCAGAGCCTTTTCCTGGGGACTTGTGATGTGAGCTCAGCTACCCAGCCAGCCTGGACTGGGTAGAGCTTTCATGGTCTTTTCCCTGTCAGTCTGTTGAAAGCTCAGGAGACTGACATGTTAACCCTGAGGGGAGATACTACTTCTCCAGGCAAAAGGATATATCATACTTTGGATAAGCACTGGGGACAGAGTTCTCGAGGAAGGGAATAGCTGTCTCCTAGTCACAGGAGAAAGGAGAGGACATGTGACTGACTGGGCCTCCTGACCGCAGGTCTTCCCAAGTGACCAGCTGTTTGAGTGAAAGTGGCTCCATCCCCACCATGGTTCTCGGCACCAACATTCAGAGAATGCCTACCAGGTGTCAGGCACTGATCGGGAAGCCAAGGTTAGGGTATCTATGACATCATGGAGTTCACAGTGTAACTGGGGGAGGCAATTTAATTAAATAAAAAAGTCAGTGCAGGAAGATTGGTGCAAGAAGGTACTGTGGTAATACAGATAAGAAAAATCTTTGGTGGTAGTGGCCTCAATTCTGACTTCCCAGAGAAGCATGCCTGTAGAACTTAGTGAGAATTGGTATACTTCTTCTTCTTCTTCTTCTTTTTTAAGATTTTATTTATTTATTCATAAGAGATAGAGAGAGAAGCAGAGACACAGGCAGAGGGAGAAGTAGGCTCCATGCAGGGAGCCTGCTGTGGGACTTGATCCCCGGACTCCAGGATCACGCCCTGGGCCAAAGGCAGGCGCTAAACCACTGAGCCACCCAGGGATTATTAGCAAGGGGAGCAGGGCTCGCCAGGCCACAGGACTGGTGGCATAAAGGCTGCCGTGTGTGAAGCAGTAAGCAGGGCTGAGCTTTCAGCCAGTACTTCGGTACTGACAAACAGTAGAGAGCATCTGAAGGGGGTTAAGGAGCTCAGTCTCGTTAGATCTGAGTTTTAGAAAGGTCACTCTAGGGTAGAGGATGGGTTGGTCAGGGGTCATTTTGGCTGCTGCACTGCTCTGACTGAGAAGTGATGATAACACGAAGAGGCGATTTGGTCCAGGGTGTGATCCTGGAGTACCAGGATCAAGTCCCGCATCGGGCTCCTCGCATGGAGCCTGCTTCTCCTTCTGCGTATGTCTCTGCCGTGCTCTGTGTTTCTCATAAATAAATAAAAATCTTAAAAAAAAAAAAAACACGAAGAGGCAAAGAGAGATTTAGAAGAAGTAGTTCATAGGATTAAATAACTGGTTATGGAATGGAGGAAAAGGAGGACTTTGAGATTTCTAGCATAGATGCATGAAGTGCAGTCAGGCACAAAGAAAGGAAAAACGGAAACAGCAACTTTTAGGGAAGAAGACAGTTGAAGGGGTTAGAAATGGCATTTGAGTGTCCCTGTATGCAAGGTTCCTCCTATTTACATATCTATGTATATTCCCATTTAACTTGCATAAAGACTTTTGAGTTAAATAATATGATTCCAGTTTTTCAGATTTCTGGGTTAGATGCATGATACAGTGCAGTAGAAGAGCCAGCAATTTTGAATAAATTGCCTGACTACAAAGACAGTCCTTTTTGGCTATAATCCGGTGGCTTTCTGGTTTGAATATGCTAAATTTGAGGTGCCTGTTGAGTTTCCAAATGAAAAAGAACAGAAAAAAGATGACTGTATAATTTGGGGCTCACAAAGTCATTTTGGTTAGAGTTTGGGCTACGCTTTTGAAAATGTATCTTGACTCCTTGATTATTTTCGGGGTACCTGGGCAGCTCAGTGGTTGAGCATCTGCCTTTGGCTCAGGGTATGATCCTAGGGTCCTGGGATTGAGTCCTACAACAGGCCCCCATGGGGAGCCTGTCTCTCTCTCTCTGTGTCTCTGCCTCTCTCTGTGTCTCTCATGAATAAATAAAATCTTAGAAAAAAAAACCTTCATTTTTTTTTTTTCAAACAAAATCTTACTCTTATTCCTGTCTTGTCTAGGACAAGCTTCAGTGAATTTTAACTATCATGAACTTGCTTTTCATCATTCGTCTATTTTGCCTTGGACTATACATACTGGCATACCTTCAGATGCTGTTTGGTTTGGTTCAGTTCTAGACCACCACAATAAGGTGGTCATAAAATCATAATATCATAAATATGGTAAAGGGAGTCAAATGAATTTCTTGATTCCCCTGTGCATATAAAAGTTACATTTACACTATACTGTAATCTAACAAGTGTGCAATGGCATTATGTCTAAAAAAATGTACATACCTTAATTTAAAAATAATTTATTGCTAAAAAATGCTAACCATCACCCCAGCTTTCAACGAGTCACAATCACCTGGTCACAGATCACCATTACAGATATATTAATGAGGGACACCTGGGTGGCTCAGCGGTTGAGCATCTGCCTTCCGCTCAGGGTGTGATCCCAGAGTTCTGGGATGGAATCCCACATTGGGATCCCGACAGGGAGCCTGCTTCTCCTTCTGCCTATGTCTCTGCCTGTCTCTCTGTGTCTCTCATGAATAAATAAATAAAATCTTAAAAAAAACAAAATATATTAATGAAAAAGTTTGAAATATGAGAATTACCAAAATGGGACATGAGGAGAGCAAATGCTGTTGGAAAAAATGGCAACCCTTACTTGCCACAAACCTTCAACTTGTAAAAAAGGGAGTATTTGGAAACTGCAATAAAACAAAGTGACCTCACAAGCTACTGCAAATCAATATATTCATGGACAAACCCATGTGAGATTTTGAACTGTAAGTATATAGGCTGATAGCCATTTTATTTTAGGAGGCTTTTTATTTTGTAAGGTTGAGAAGAGAAAAGGGTCTCTATATTTTGAATGGGAGGATGGTAGAGAGTGGTTCTTTCCCTTTCCCTATACTTCCCCCTCCCCTACCAAAAAATAAATATCTATATGCCTCTGCTATATATTAGCTTCTTTCACAGACTTCTGTCCATCACCTTCTGTCCACATCAGGCAAGTTACATTTCATTTTTAAGGAATGAAAAGTAGTTTCTTTCTTTTTGTTAACTCTAACCCATTCACCTGTCATCTTTTCTCTTCCTGACCCTACCAGATGGCACTGCACTCTCACAAAAAGAAGTACATGGAATAACTTCCTGAGGCCAATCACCTAAATTAACGAAGGATGCCAGTGTGGGCAAATTGTGATGTGCTGGCATCCTCATTCTACAGTGTGTTCCACTCTTTCTTGCAATCTCAGAAAAAGATGGTGTTAAAAGAAAATATTTTGTGAAACAAGAAGCTCCTACTTTTTTAATGACTAACATGTATTGTTAAGATGGACATCTGTTCTGCAAGATACACAGTTCTGTGGTCTCGAAGAAGCAAGCGCCCATTCAAAACCAATCCTAAATAAAAACAGACCTGAATGGATGTCAGAATGTTTGTTAGTGGCAGAAGAGTAAAAAAATGGCAGTTTGTTCAGCTCTTTGCCACTTGTTTTGTACTAAGCCTCATGTTTTTTTGGGACCCAATCGATAATCACATTGTGAGCCATATGAAGTCCTACTCCTACAGATACCTCATAAACAGCTATGACTTTGTAAATGACAGCCTGTCTCTTAAGCATAGTGCAGATGGGGCTACTCGCTACCAGTACTTGATTAACCATGAGGAGAAGTGTCAGGCACAAGACATCCTCCTTTTACTGTTTGTAAAAACTGCTCCTGAAAACTACAATCGACGTCATGCGATTAGAAAAACATGGGGCAATGAAAAGTATGTTCAGTCTCAACTTAATGCCAACATCAAAACTCTGTTTGCTCTAGGAACACCTACTAACCCATTGACAAGGGGGGAACTGCAAAGAAAACTGGTTTGGGAAGATCAAATGTACAATGATCTAATTCAGCAAGACTTTGCTGATTCTTTCTATAATCTTACTCTTAAATTACTTCTGCAGTTCAGATGGGCAAACAGCTTTTGTCCACATGCCAAATTTCTTATGACTGCTGATGATGACATCTTTATTCATATGCCAAATCTTATTGAATACCTTCAAAGTTTAGAAAAAATGGGTGTTCAGGACTTTTGGATTGGTCGGGTTCATCGTGGTGCTCCTCCTGTAAGAGACAAACGCAGCAAATACTATGTCCCCTATGAAATGTATCAGTGGCCGGCTTACCCTGACTATACTGCTGGAGCCGCCTACGTGATCTCCGGTGACGTAGCCGCTAAAGTCCACGAGGCATCACAGACACTTAACTCAAGTCTTTACATAGATGATGTGTTCATGGGCCTGTGTGCCAATAAAATGGGGATAGTACCACAACACCATGTGTTTTTCTCTGGGGAAGGTAAAACTCCTTATCATCCCTGCATCTATAATAAAATGATGACATCTCATGGACATGTTCAAGATCTTCAGGACCTCTGGAGGGATGCCACAGACCCGAAAGTAAAAACAATTTCAAGAGGGTTTTTTGGTCAAATATACTGCAGGATAATTAAGATAGTTCTCCTTTGCAAATTGACCTATGTGGACACATATCCTTGTAGGGCTGCCTTTGCCTAACGGTACTTGAATGTTCTATGTTTTCACTGTCACTGAGCCAAACTGGATGAAAAAAACTTTAGATATTTGTCGATACCTTAAGTAAAATGATTATAAAAAAAACAAAGAAATGTTTTGAAAACTCAGTCTATCAGAAAGTTTCTTTGATTCTAGAAGCTATTCAGTGTAACTTACCTACTTCATTGCCTAGATTCATTTCAAGGAATTTATATTTAGAAAAGGTTTATGAAAACAAAGCTAAAGGGAAATTCAAGTTCTCACTTAATGCCATGTGTATACTGGAGGCATAGAGAAGTTATTAAGGTGCTTTGGTGTTAGGGTAACTGCTTTTGGAAAATACCAAGTGAATGTATAGTACAACATTTCAAAGAAATGAATATATTGTTGGACCAGGTTTACAAATTAGTTTTTATTAGAGAGCACTTGACGGGGGAACTGGAGGCCAGGGGAAGATTGGCATAGGAGAACGTACTTGAACCTGGTAAAAGAAAGTTCCTGATCTTCAGAGAAGATTTGGGAAAATGTACACGATTTCTTTATAAATAACCAAATCACTTATTGTCCCATCCATGTAGCTAATTTACCTAGATAGTGTTGTCATTTAAAATATAGCTTTTTTTTTTTTCAAAGTTTAATGTGAAATTTGAGCTATCATTTGCTCTTCCCTAACTGGTACTTCATGTGGGTTTTCTAGATTATTAGAAGTGACACAAAACATGGGCAGTTTGTTACTCACAGGGTCTTTCTCTATGGAGAAATCATTGTTAATTCAAATAAGCCAATTTTAATGAATTTTCAGCTGGTTTTTAAATATTCAATATTGGTCCATTTTTAAGGTAGTTATTTGAATTATTTGAATGTAATTTGCACAAAGGGATATAATAATGAAGACGACTTCAAAAAGAAAAATAGAACATTAGAAGCCTCTTTTCTCCCTTTCTGTGATTTATAAAACAAAATTCTTAGTTTATAAATTATTGTAATGATGACTAAAATTAGCCTACCCCTTCTCAACAAGGTCTCATTAACCACAGTACTTTGTTCCAAGTTCAGATTTTAAAACTGAGCGTTCAGCATCAAATCAAAGCTATCTTATTTTTTAAAAATCAAAATGACTGTTGGAGGTGTCATCAACTTTGAAATATTTCACATTTGAAAGCAGAATGAAGTGATAGAAAAGTCACCAGGATAAGGTTTTAAATATTTGTGAAACTTCATATATTCAGAGATGTGGCTGAGCTCTCTAAAAGAGGAAGTTGCATTGTTCTTACAGAGCAGGATAAAAATGTGGCCATGATGCAACAACCTCCCCTCACTACAGAAAGAACTAGGTGATGTCCATTGTCGCAGGGATTATATCAAGTCCAAAATGGTGACTTCAGCAAAAGCAGTTGAACTGATTATAAAACCCCTCTCTGCAGAGGTGCCTGTTAGGGAAAACTAAGATGTCTCATTTCATTAGATGTCTGAAATATGCAGAAGAAAAAAAAACTAAAAGAATTCTTGGTAAACACAACTGGATGATGATAAATACTGTATTTTTTTTGCAGATAGCTTTTTAATGTTTACAGAAAATTTTCGTTAATTTTTTTCCTATTTTGAAAACTGAGGCTTGTTTACATTAATTGCTCAGATAATTTAGAATTTTTAACTAATGTCAAAACTACAGTGTCAACCATTCTAGGTTTGTAGTTACTTTCAGAGTAGGTCAGCGTTTTTAGATCATTACAGTTTAAATTTTCTGACCAATTTTAAAAACTATAGGTAACCAAATCACATTTTGACAAATCTGGTTTATAATTAATTTTTATTAGTTTGATTCTTTAATAACCATTTGCCTTTTGGCCATACACCCTGTGTATCTATACCTGTAACTGTTTAAATTTTCCATTGGTTGAAAACATAAGTGTTTCTCTGGCCATTGAAATTATCTTGTTTACAGCAATACTTTTGTGAAGCAATTATTTATTTGCAAAAGAGCTCTCCTCAACTGTGTTCATCTTTTCATTTTTGCTTAGAATAGAATGGAACAGATTTAAATTTAAAGGAAATATGAAGGCACTTCCTTTTTTAATAAGAAGGAAATTGCTAGATGCTTCCTTCAGTAGATTTAAAGTACTGAGAAGACTATTTGTAAATAAAAGGATTCCAGCCTTTTAAAAAAAGAAGGAAAAAACTTTTTGGTGCTCTAATGCAGGGCTGTCTCAAAAATCGTCAACAAAGGGAAAATAACTATCAGCCTGGATGGTCACTTGAGTATATGATGGTTGTACACAGTATTATTGCTAAAACCTTTTTACCTCTTGGTTGATTTGCATCTTTTTTCCATATTATTAATTTTATACCAGTATGTTAAATATTTATATTATTTGAATTTTGCTCTTGTATGGCAAAATAATTAGTGAGTTTTTAAAAATAAATCTGTGATTTCCAATAAACAACTTGCAAATTGTCAGCAGGTGTGTTTTTCACAAACTTTCTAAACTCCTGTGTGGACACCGTTTGTTCATATCACCAACTTGTTCTGTTTAATGTCAGGGAGGTCTGTAGTACACAATCTTTTTTTTTTTTTTTTTTTTTTGTAGTACACAATCTTAATCCTGTTGCTGTTCAGATTTGTGCCTAGGATAGAGGATTATCGTGTCCTCTGCCATGGAATCACCTAAAATGCTTCTTTTTTTTCTTCTTCTTTTGTTTGTTAAAGGAGTTATGTTGGAATGTCTAAGTTGGGGGAATTCTCTTCTACTAGACTGTTCAGGAAAGAGATGAAAACATGTAGTCATGATGCCATAAGACACCATTTGAAAGGGTCATATTTTCCTTTTATTTGATATCATTAAGTGTCAGAAAGTAGATTCAAATTAAGCTCTAGTCTATTAATGTCAGGAACGTTCTTAGGTGTGCTTCTGAGTGCTGCTTCAGTATATTTGTGCAAAGTATGTTCTCATCTGCTTTTTACCCGATTCCTGCACAGTACTTAGCCTAAGATAGGGTGTGATTCAATCTTGGTATGTTTTCAAACCTTGGAAGTGATTTTTTTGGTTGTAGATATTCTTTTGCTCCAGACCTCAAAGGCTTCTTACTGTATTGAGCATCAAATCTAATCTCTTCTACCTGGTTCCCAAAGCCTTACGGAATCTTCCTTTTCTTCTTTATTCCCTGTAGTTTTAGTTTTCCCACTGCCACTAAATTTCATTCATGACCACAGTTTGTGTAAGTTAACCAATGGAACATCATTTCCCCTGTATCTGTTGAAGTCTTGAAAATCCAACCCTAACTGTGCTCTTCCATTAAGCATCTCTTCCTGCCCTCCTCTCAAAACCTATACTTAATCACATATATTATTGTACTATCTATTAATTGTTTCATGTGTTTTTTCCTAGCCAAAACAGAAGTTCTGAAGGTAGGGACTGTGCACAGTGCTATCACATAATGCTTAAAATCATTGAGTTTTTTTTTGTTTTTGTTTTTGTTTCTGTTTTTCTGGAGTGCCTGGAAAAAAGGCTTAGTTGGTTAAGCATCAGACTCTTGATTTCAGCTCACATCATGATCTCAGAGTCATGAGATCTGAGCCCCAAGTTGGGCTCCATGCTGCATGTGGAGCCTGCTTAGAATTCTCCCTCTCCCTCTGTCCCCTTTCCTGCTCACACTTCCTCTCTCTTTAAGAAAAAAAAAAAATATATATATATTTATGTATATAAATAAACATATATTTTTATGTATAAATATATATTTATATAAATATAAAATATATTTATGTATATACATATATATTTATATACATATATAAAATATATATGTATATTTATGTATGTGTGTGTATATATATCTATATATATACACACACACACGCTGTCATTTAAGGACAACAGAACACATTGTCAAGTGGTGCTTTTCTGAGGCAACCCAACTGAAAACACTTTCTGATATACTGATGTGGGTCATTTATTATAACTGAGAGATAACATTTCAATCAGTTAGAGCCCACATGTTTCCTTGAGTACACCTTAAAGAGTATAAAGTAGTCTAATTAAACAAATAGGGGCTTTAATCAAGTGGCAAGTTCCTAAAGATATTGGTTCATTCGTTCTACAGGCATAAATTGAAAGCCTGCTAAGAGCTAAGTATTATAGTCCCTGGGCAAAAGAGTGGCTCATAAATCAGTAAATTAAATGATGTGGATATAAATAATGTGATGATTGCTAGACTAGAGCTAATGATGGAGATTTTGAGTATAAAGAAGATTTTTTAAATAATGCATTTCCCCTTATGCTTTTGGTATTTACCACCCTATTTAGGCTTTTGGAACTGCAGAGTATTCACATAAATGCAAACACCTTCTTCCTATAGTCCAAAAATAGCATTGAATTTGTATAAATTAGGTCTTTGGGGAACCTATTGCCTTTAAATGCTTTCAAAGCATTAATTCAATCTACCAATATTAGTTTACATTATTATTTTCTTGATAATTTGTTTTTTAAAATACTGGGTATCCTTGGAATTTGGTTTATAAGTCATCTGTAACTCTTGCTTGTTGCCTCCCTGAGATCCATGAGTTTGTTCTCAGGTACATAAGTAAAGCTTAACATATAGAATAAATATGTGATTTTATCTAGGAAAAATGAGCAATGAGATTTAAAACAAGAAGATACCCTCCCATCCATCCCCTGCACCCCAAGGAGTTAAAATGACTCCTGCCAGGGATCTGCAATCTTACCTGGTGGGGGAAAGATTTTCAGGACTCTCAAGCTGCTCTCGTCCAGGGTTCTCCCCATCATGACTGCTTTCCAGTATTTCTTCATTCTGAAGAGAAAGAAATTTTGGTAAGATGGTCTATTTTATTTGGGGGCTGTATAGTTTTCTTTCCTCTAATTTATTTGTTCTGTTTGTTTTTGTTTTCAGTGTTCTAGATAAGCACCATGTCGGGTCCCTAATCTTTCTTTTCCTTTCTTGGGTTTTTTCCCAAGTCCTCTGCAGATCTGTTACAGTTTGCCCTTCAGGCTTCCTTTAGAAGCATCAAAAACTCTTTCTCAAAAGCAGGTATCCTTTTTCCTTAATAATGAACGGCTATTAATAATAATGTACTCCTCCTTCTTCCCGGTTGACTCACAATAAAGATTCAGAGTTTGAGCTAAGGGCAACAAGTAAAAAGATCATTTGATTCAATATCTCCTTTTTTTTTTTTTTTTAACTTCTGGAGGTAAGAAATCAAGATCTGGAGAAGTTATGACCTACCCAAGACCAGAAAGTGAGCTAAAGACAGAGATGAGATAAACCCAGAGTCCACTTTCACAGGCTGGTAATCACAAGTCCATTCTAGCATGCACTGTGTCTGAAATCAGCTGGTTCCTTAGGTGGTACAGATTGGTCACTGGTATAGACTTGAAGCCAGCTTGTGGTTGGTAACCCTGCTCCACTACCTCCCATCTGAGACCTTGGGCATATTCACTGATCCCCTCTGCCTCAATTTCCTCCCCTTAGAACATGGACCCCATGGCACTATCTACCACATAGGGCTGGGGCTCTTTTTCAGAATATTAGGGATTTAATTCTCAAAAAGAGGCAAAATTATTTATTTTACTCTCAATAAAATATAGTTTTAATAAGGAAATGAATTTGTATAACATGGATAGCAACCAGAGTATCTTAAAGGTATTGAGTAATAATTAACAAGTAGATAATTAGCCAGCATTTGAATTCTTCCTGGCTGCCAGGTTCTGTTTAATGAGTTATTTTATACTGTCACAAAAGGGAGTATAGATTTTGAAAAAGCCATCTTGCAGAAGTATTGTTTAAGGAAATTTAATGAGTAAACATAAAGATTCTATGTAAATTAGAGCTGGAAGGTGAAGGACAAAGTTCCCCAGACGGAGGAACAGATGAGAAGTCTCCTTGTAAAAGAGATGAGAGTGATAGGCTCTCAGCTCATTGTTGACAATGCAAGAAGAAAGGCCTGTCAATGGATTAAACAGAAAGCAGTCAAGGTAAGGTTTTTGGTTTTTTTTATTCATAATGCCAACCACAGAAACAGCAATTCAAAAATGTCCAATGAATGAAAGAAAATCATGGATCTTTGATCTTTTTCACTGATGCCCTATCAAATCTGACATATCCAGAAAGCAAGCTAACAAATAAAGGGTTCTTTGGGATACCAGTTTAGCATTCAGCTCAAACAAGGACAATCTTAAGTTCCAAGTTCATATTTGTTTTTTGTTTTTTTTTAAACAGGATATCATGGGGCACCTGGGTGGGTCAGTGGTTGAGTATCTGCCTTTGGCTCAGGTCATGATCTCAGAGTCCTGGGATCGAGTCCCACATCAGGCTCACCACCGGGAGCGTGCTCTTCCCTCTGCCTATATCTCTGCCTCTCTCTGTGTGTCTCTCATGAATAAATAAATTAAATCTTTAAAAAAAATGAGTATCATTTCACTAAGAATCTAAATTTTTAGTTCCTTTTATTACATATATTTGACCAGATACTAGTATATATTTCTCATTTCAGTCAATTTACAGAAATAAATACCAGTCCCTGGATTCAAACCAATCTAGTTATTTTCACCACACTATACCAAAGCTCTTTCTTCACATTTTCTATATAACGTTGAACTAATTACCATGGCAGTTAATGTTATATGGCATGCCTTTCTAGTTCCTCCCCTGTGACATTACTATGCCTGAAATACCAGCTGGACTTGGACCTTTAGCCCTATTGGTCTTTGGATCTCTCAAAATAATATGGGACCTTCATCAAGAGTAACCACTATTGGGACTATGAAGGGTGGAGCAGCAACATGGCAGCGCCTGGTGCAGGTGACCCTCTCAATACTAAGAGTGGACAGGCCCCTGTGGCTCAGCGCATCGACCCGACCCGGGAGAAGGTGACTCCCACGCAGCCGTAGTTCATGCAGCAGGTGGAGCTCGCCCAGTGGCAGAAGAGGCTGCTGCAAAGGCGGACCCGGAACATCCTGACCCGGCCTGCTGCATTGGGGCCGTGGTGTTAGCTATTTATGGCTACACCTCCTACTCCGTGTCCCAGGAGCATTTCCTAGATGAGCTGGAGGATGAGGTCAAAGCTGCCCGAACCTGAGCCCAAGCCCTCGGGAGGGCATCAGGACCCTGAACCAGGTGGACACTGCACGTCTCCAACCCGCTGGAGCCCCTTTCACGTGGTGGATGATACCCAGTGACCCTGTGGAAATCCAAGCCTGCACACAGCATTGATGGCCTCAACCTTGAACGATGATTGAGCCCAAGAATTTATTGCATTTGGCCAGGTCAAGGGAGTATTGCCCACCTTACAAAAACTGTCCACTGAGCCCTTCTTGCAGTTTGTTTCCTTTTTTGAGAGCTGTATAACTTTGGCTTTTCTTAGGCTTTCAGACTTTGTGGTTTACCCTCTTTACCTCCCCGGGGCTTAGCTGTTATGGAGGTGGCAGCTGTG